CGTTTTATTATTTTCAGATGTGTTTTTGGTTGTTTTGATTACCCATGAATCCATATTATGATTTATGTGTTTATGTTTAATAAGAACTAAAACTAAAAATAATAATTTGTTTAATTACCTATTTCATTATATTTATTAGGTATATATATAAATTTAATTATATTTATTTGTAAAAAATTTCGCTCATTCAATTTGCCTCAAATTYAATAAATCAGAATTTAATCATAATACCTACAACAATTTATTAACTTATCTTTAAATAACAGTGATATAATTTTTTGGCACTGTACTATTGCAGTCGGGCCAGTCGGCGATAAAATGAAAGTATATTTAGGTGTTTTATAATAAATGTCAATTAATAGCCGATAGAAAAGTATTGAGCTACGATAACGATAGCAATCAATTTGAAAACGGTCGTCGTGACACGTCGGTATTGTCATGTCTCGGAATGTCCGAAATAAATGCTAAAATAAACTTTTTTTATTTATTTTATTACCAATGAAAAGATTATAAGCAAGGCTCGGAACTTTATGCGCTAAAAAGTACTCAAATATGCGCATACATATGCGTTAAAAAACATCATAATATGCGGTAAAATATGCAGTAATAATTTGGAAAATATGTAAAAACATGCAATTTATTGAATAAAAAATAATTTAAAAAAAAATAAAGTTTTTGCACACTGCTATGTATTGCTGTCTTCCTATATGTATATTGTATACCTTCAATCTTCTTAATTTCCAACTAAAAAAAAATAGAATCAATAAATATTTAAACAATTAGATAGGTTATTTTTTTTACCCGTGTGGCCGTGTGCCCGTGTTGCACACTTGCACTGAAGTAAGAGGTGTTTCCTTATGTTCTCGTCGTTCTCGAGTTTAAATGATCTTCGGTTGTCGGTCAAGAGATTCTTATAATTCGAGAAAGATCTCTCCACATCAACTGATGTAATTGKAGCAAACTTGTAAAAACTTAAATCATTTGTGGTAAGATCTTCAGGTAGAGCATCCATGTTGTCACTTTCTCCGTCAATTATTTTTGATATCTGTTTTAGTATTTTAAGTCCACTGTTTTTGTTTAAAACAGTTTCGAATTTCTTATATACTTTTTGCCCATCATTACCCTGAGCCATTTGTAACTGAACTTGAACTTTTTCCAGAATATCCAAAGATTCAGCTAAAGGCATATTTTTTTTTGTAATTTTAAAATTGAATCTGAAATTACTTTAAAATTTGATTTTATGTATACCAGATTACTTTTGACACATGTTTTTACCAATTTTTTTTTTGCTATTTTTATACTTGAAGCGTCTTCCGAGTCTAACATTTCCACAATTTCACAAATTTGTTTGTAATATTCGCAGTAATAAATGCTAGCATTTAGCCACGTATCCCAGCGTGTGATTACTGGCTCTGGTGGTAAGGGGATATTCGGGGCATGTGTTTTGAATATCTGAACACGCGATGGCGCTTTTTWAAAATTTTTTTTGACATTCGATATAATTTTATCGATCGTGCTAAATTGTCCACGTACCTCTTCAGCAGTCCTACGGAGACTATGCGCAACGCACGTCACATACACCATTTTTGAGTATAATGCATTAAGTGATTTTCCACACTTGACCATATAGGGCGCCGCATCCGATAGAAATAAATAACACATCATCGTRTTTGATTCCGTCGGGCCACAAAATAGGTACTGAGCGATTTATCAAAAAATTTGCATACAGTTGAGTGATTTGTTTTTTCTAATGCGTCGGTATTTAATAAAAATATATCACYTGCTCTTTCTTCTTCTAGAGTTCCTATTATGGCATTTGCAATTTGTCTCCCCTCAGCGTCGGTCGTTTCATCGATCGATATCCAAATTTTTTTTTAAAACACACGTTGTCTTATATATTTACCATCATTTCCTCGTAACAATCATCAAGATAGAACTTTCTAATTGTCGATTCAGTGGGTACATCTTTTTGTGTGTAATAATGAGTATTGTATTATCATTTTTCATATAAATAAAAACACTTTAAAAGTCAAACATTTAAAATGGTAATAAATAGCTCTAAATCAGTAAATTTGTTTTGAAAATTACATCATAAATAAAAGGTTCTTATCCAAAACTATTTTTATAAATATGATTTCTCATTTTATGAAAGACCAATTTTCTATTACCTACAACATCATTGTTCTGCATAAATGTTTTCCATRCATTATATATAAAATTCAATGAAATATCTAACTGTAAATTATTTACAGTAAATAACTTCTGTTAGTGTCTTTTCAAGTCTGATCACTTTTCTTGATTTAAAAGTGTGGATATAGTCTATAATTGAATCATTGGTAATTCTACAGACTGATAGTAAAGTAATTCTTGATCCATCTATTTTTTTATAGGACTTAAATAAGTTTTTTTGAATGTTTTGGAAATTATATTCAAACAATTAATAGAAATTTTTTTGATTGATGAAAAAGCAATTAAATAAACTCAAATTTACCACATTTGACATTAAATAGGTATAAAGTAATTTACATGTAGGTAATTTATCTTCTCTGTTGGTTTTACGACCATCCTTTCTATGTACCTACGTTTGTAATATAGAAATCATATCCAGTAAAAATTGATGTTGGTCAGTTTTATCAGGTATATGTATCAGCTAGAATTGTGGAAATATGACATACTGTTAAAGGTTTTTCCTTGTGGATACAATTCAATATTCAACTTTTTCCAATTTAATTCTCCATATTTTTTCTTATTTGTCTTTAGTGAATTGTTTTTATTTTCTGTTCACTACCAACTACCAAGTGTTTATTTCTTCAATATACTCAAGGTCTAAGTATAAGTTCATTAAAACTATTAGTTTCAAGATTATCTTCTTCCAAAATTACAAACTCCATACCATAAAAATTTAATAAGTTATCTCAAAAAATATATTTTATCAAAATATATTCATATAATAATAAAACCAAMATAGTTGTTATGTCATACCAAGGTTCAGAATATTAAAGCAAAAACAAAGTGCATATTATTAACTTATGAAGAAATACTGTAATATTATAATCTATCAAATTTTTAATTGACAGTTGTTTAATAAAACAATAAATTGTGTCTTCTGTTTAAAAATGAGGTGATTTAAATTTCAAGTCAATTTCATTATCTTAAGACAAATAATATCTTAGTTCAGTTTTCTACCCGCAGTCTTGTAAAATATACTTTTGATAAATTATTGAAATATTAATACTAGTATTCAAATAAAATAGTATTAAAAATGCTATTATAAAAATGTATACTATGAATACTCACTAAGTTTTTGAATACAAAAACAAATATTATTTTTCAATTTTATGCTATATGTCGTACATGTTATATGTATATTTATTTTACATCAGTAATCAGTATAAGTACCTATATTATGTTACTACTTACCATAGATTTGAAAAATTTGAAAAAAAAATAACTATCCAACTATTTAGAAGTAAATACATGTTCAGATATTTCATTCATATTGATACRATTAGATTACAAAAAATAAAAAGTGGTATTAACTATTAATATGAAATTATTTAAAAAAAAATACAAATACAAAATCCATATAAAATTGGATGTAGCATTGTTTAAACTTTAAACCTTTAAATTACCTACTTTTTCTATACAAAATGTTTTCTGTTTTTATAAATTCAATCTCATTAATATTATATTGTTTTATTTTTATGTAATTATATAGCCTTGACAATAAGATAAAAATTAATCTTTAATTCCCATACTCATGATATTAATAAATATGAAATTATAGTTTTGGAGTTAAGACTTACATATTAAGCCAATTTAATATTATTTCAACGAATACAATATTATTTTTATATATGTYAAATTGTTGTAAAAAATAATTAATAAATCTAATATTGTGGTATTTAAGTACTAGTATTTATATTATGTCAAAAATTCTTTTAAAAAGTATTCAGAATACTTCAAAAAGTATTTTAATACAAGTA